GGCATTCCACACATTCCCAACGTGCCACTGCCCACCCTCCCCCTCCCACAGGAGCTGCTCTCCCTCCTCACTGCCCAGCCAGGGGTGAAAAGTGGATTTGAGGCATTCCTGACCCAAGGCAGGGAATGTGGCCCCTCCTGAGGGGCTTGGAGGTGACGCTGTGGGTGTGCCCATCCATGGCTTCGCTTCCCTCGGGAATGCTGCAGCTCCCTAAATCCCTCTGTGCTCCCTGGGGCTCCCAGACCCGTGTCCAGCTCCAGCCACCTCCATCCACGGTGTTCCTGGCTGCTTTGGGCTGGGGAACATGGCATGAGGTGCTCAAGGAGCAGGAGTTCTCCTGGATTTGGGCGTATCCATCAGTTTTGAGGGCATGCTGATAAAATCTGTGAGTGGCTGATCCCAAACGGATCAATCCCAGCTCTTCTGGGGGTGCTCTGCCCTTCCCCAGGGTGGGCAGGCCCTGGCACAGGTTGCCCAGAGAAGCTGTGGCTGCCCCTGAATCCCTGGAAGTGTCCAAGGCCAGGTTGGAGCACCCTGGGATAGTGGGAAGTGTCCCTGCCCGTGGCAGGGGGTGGAATGGGATGATCCTTAAGTTCCCTTCCAACCCAAAGCATCCTGGGATTCTCAGAGGGAGGAGACACCTCCTGCTGGTGCTGAGGGGTGAATTCCCAGTGCAGGAGCAGCGGGAAACGCTGGGCCCCGGGAATTCCCGGAGCAGCTGCAGGAGCCGCTCTGGCCTCGCACCGTTAATTAACGGCAGCAATTAGAGCTTGTTTTCTCCCGGTGCTTCCCTGTGTTTAATGAGGATGGGAAGGTGCTGGAGCTAGGCACGGAGGAGCCTCTGGGTGTGATATCACAGCCAGCCCTTGGAGTGTGTGGGAAATGGAGCTGCTGTCCCTGGATGGAGGTGTCTGTGGCCTGGGAGGAGCTGCAGCTCCCTGGGGATCCCTCTCGTGCTCCCTTCCCAGCCCAGGGCAGGGGTGGAGTCCCCATCCCTGGAGGGATTTCAAATCCACATGGATGTGGCACTTGGGGACATGGGGCAGTGGTGGCCTTGGCAGTGCTGGCTTTGACGATCATGGAGGCTTTTCCAAGCTAAACAATTCCATGATTCCATGACTTCAGCTGCCCCTCTGGCTCCTGATGCCCATTTTGCCCCTCGCTACCACGATCCAGGACACCCCACACGTCTCTCACCGCTCGGAGCTCTTCCCTGTTTTTCCCAGGGAGGTTTCACCCCTTTGTGCTCTTCCCTGTTTCCCACAGGGAGATCAAGCTGCGGAATTACGAGCCCGAGGATGAGGAGCTGAAGAAGAGGAAGCTGCCCCCGGGAAAACCGGCCTCAGGTGGGAACCAGCGGGAGCAAGGGCTTGGGAAGCTCCTTGGGAAGGGTGGGAGATCCTGGACCTTGGAGCAGGGCTGTGTCTCGCTGTGAGGTCCTTGGAGCCCTGGAGGGTGTTGGAATGTGGGAGCCCCTGTTGCTGCATCCTCCTCTTCCTCCTCCTCCTCACCCCCTGCATTGCTCAAGTGTGATGAGGGGGGAGCAATTCCAGCCCGAGCCAAAGGGTTGGTCCTCCCTGGAGGCTCCTCAAGGAGATTCCGGCTGCTTTTTTTGTTTGACTTCTCCTTAAACAAACATCAGTGCCGGGCTCCAGGCTGGGATTTGCCAGGGCTGAGCCTCCTCCCCCACCACGTGCTTCCAAGAAGGGCAAGTGAAGGGTGGAAGTTCCCTTGATCTTGGAACGTGGAGCCCTCCTGGGATAGATCCCTTTCAAAACACCCCCGATCAAAAGGCGCCTTCGGAAGCTCCGAGGTGGGGAGGGTGGGAATGCTGGCACTGCACCTTCCTCGTCCCTCTGGAAAAGCTTCAGGGCTGCCTCTGAATGTCACAGCAAGGGCACGGAGGGGCTGGAGCGTGTGCAGGGAAGGGAAGGGAGCTGGGAAGGGGCTGGAGCAGCAGGAGCGGCTGAGGGAGCTGGGGGGGCTCAGCCTGGAGAAAAGGAGGCTCAGGGGGGACCTTCTGGCTCTGCAGTCCCTGACAGGAGGGGGGAGCCGGGGGGGGGGTCGGGCTCTGCTCCCAGGGAACAGGGACAGGAGGAGAGGGAGGGGCAGGTTGGATAGTGGGGAAAATTCCACCTGGAATCCCCATCCATGGAGGGGTTTCAAAGCCCTGTGGATGTGGCACTTGGGGACATGGTCAGTGGTGGCCTTGGCAGTGCTGGGAATGGCTGGATGACCTCAGAGGGCTTTTCCAACCTCAGTGATTCCAGGATTCTCTGAAATCCACCTGCTGGAGCGGAATTCACCCCCCAGGGATGTGCTCCCGGAGCTGCTCCCCTTCCTTGCTCAGCTGAAGGACAGGGAGCTGTTTTTCCCACACCTTTTCCCATTATCCCTGAGATCTCCAGACCTTTATGCCGGGTAGGACTCCTCCAGTTCTGTCTCAAACCTTGTAAATGAGTCAGGGTGAGTGCAGTTCCACACCCCTGGACAGCTGATCCCTGCAGGAGTTCTGGGAAGAGCCCTCAGGCCCAGCTGTTCGTGGCGTTGCTTCATTCCCCGAGGATTTTTAGGAGCCTCCCCAGGGATTGGGTGGTGGAGGGATGTGGGAATGGGGTTTAACCAAAGGTTCTGGGAGCCAGGCCCGGGGTTGTGTGGCATTCCCGGTGTCCCGACGCTGATCCTGTTTCTCCCTCTAGTGGAGGACACGGTGAAGGAGCAGCTGGAAGCGGCCAAGCCCGAGCCCATCATCGATGAGGTGGTAGGTAAATCCCGAGGCATTCCCCGTGCCCGGGCTCCATCCTGGCCTTCCCCTCTCACCGGGTGTCTCCTCTCCCTCCTCAGGATCTGGCCAACCTGGCTCCCAGGAAACCAGACTGGTGAGTGCCTGCGGAGCTCTGGGAGAGCGGGGTTGGAGTCAGAGCTTCCAGCACCTTGGGATTGTCCAAGTGGGGTTGAAAGGGCCGGAAATATGCAGGAATACCTGATTTGGGGGTTAAAAGTGCCGGGAAAACCAAGTGGAAGGTGTCCCACGGGAAGCTGGGCAGGTTCCCTGTGCCAGGATCCTGGGATGGGCTGATCCAGGGGTGATCCAGGTTCCCTGTGCCAGGATCCTGGGATGGGGTGATCAAGGAGTGATCCAGAGGTGTTGGAATGAGATGATCTTTAAGGTCCCTTCCAACCCAAACCATTCCAGGATTCTGTGGAATGGGAAGCTGTTGAGGAAGGCCCCAGTGTTCCCTTTCCCTGTGGATCCCTGTGGGACGTTTGGCACCACGGGATGGGGTTGGTTTTCCCGGGACCCTGGGAAGGAGGGGGGGATTTCTCTTCCCCTGGGAAAGGTGCAGGGTGTCCCCCCTGGCTGTGGGGCTGTCCTGACGTGTCCCTCTCCTTCCCAGGGATCTGAAGCGGGACGTGTCCAAGAAGCTGGAGAAGCTGGAGAGGAGGACTCAGAGAGCCATCGCCGAGCTCATCCGTGCGTGGGGGCCCAGGAGGGGCTGCCATTCCTCTGGGATCCTGGGCAATTCCACTGGGCAATTCCACTGGGCAATTCCACTGGGATCCTGGGCAATTCCTGGGCAATTCCACTGGGATCCTGGGCAATTCCTGAGCAATTCCACTGGGATCCTGGGCAATTCCTGAGCAATTCCACTGGGATCCTGGGCAATTCCACTGGGCAATTCCACTGGGCAATTCCACTGGGATCCTGGGCAATTCCACTGGGCAATTCCACTGGGATCCTGGGCAGTTCCACTGGGATCCTGGGCCCTGCCATCAGGGGAGGGCCAGGGAGGGACTGGGAGAGCCCGAGCCCTTCCCACAAGGATCTGGGAAGCTTCCCAGGAGCTCCAGGGGCACTGGGATTGTGCCCGGGGAAGGGTCTGTGGGCTCCACTGGGATAGATCCTTATCCATGCGTGTCCCTGCAGGGGAGAGGCTGAAGGGCCAGGAGGAGGAGTTGGCATCTGCGGTGGGATCAGCAAAGCAGGAGGGAAGCGACTCCGACTGAGGGATCCGTCGGCAGCCTCGGACCGGGATGCGGCTCCCGCCCCGTCCCCCCAGTGTGACCCCTGGGACACACTCAGCCCTTTCCCAGAAATTCCCAAATCCTGGAGGAGAGGGGCACATCCCAGGAGCCTGGCTGGCTGCAGAGGAGCGTTCCTGGCGAAATTCCCGGGATCACAGGGAGCAGGACAGTTCAAGCCCACCTTGGCTCAAACTCACCTGCTGGGACTCGGAGCAGGGAAATGTGGGAAAAACTCCAGGCAAGGCCAATCCAGGCTCGCTCTCCTCCTGCTGGGAAAGGAAGGAGATGCCCACATGGCCCTTGGAGAGGCAGGACCTTTTCCCAAGGGATTGGGGCTCCTGTTCCCGTGCAGACAGCACGAGGTCTCCCTGCAGAGCTGGGAACATCCATGGGCACCCCCAGAATTCCCGTGGGAAGGGGCTGTTGGTTCAGGACCTGTCGGCTGCTCTGCATCCAGCTGATTTTTTAACGTGGGATTTGCCTTGCTTCCCAAAATTTCCCAACCCTCCAGAGTGTTCCACTCCTCCTCTGAGTGTTTTTTTTATTGATGTATTTTGTTGTTAAGGGATCTTTTCCTAATAAAAAATTCCATGCTGGAAGAAGTTGTCACTTCTGGAAGAGGCACCTGGGATGGGCTGATCCAGGTGTGATCCACATTCCCTCTGCCAGGATCCTGGGATGGGATGATCCTTCAGACTGACACAGAGTATGTTTAAATGGGATATTGGGAAGGAACTTTTGGCTGGGAGGATGGGGAGGGCTTGGAATGGATTTCCCGGAGAAGCTGTGGCTGCCCCTGGATCCCTGGAAGTGTCCAAGGCCAGATTGGAGCAACCTGGGCTATTGGAAGGTGTCCCTGCCCATGGCAGGGGGTGGCACTGGATGGGCTTTGAGGTCCCTTCCAACCTAAAACATTCTGGGAATCTATAATTCCATAAACTCGGTCCCTCCTGGAGCCGTGGCCTCATCCCTGGAATGTCCTGCAGGTGTCAGCAGAACTCCATGCACAAACTCTGCCATCTCCAGCCATTCCCAGCGGCTGGGCTCGGGAAAGCCAGGCTTTCCATCCATCCATCCATCCATCCATCCATCCATCCATCCATCCATCCATCCATCCATCCATCCCACTGCCCTTTCCCTCCCTGCCTGACCCAGATCTTTGGCCTCTCCTTTGCCAGGATGGGAAGCAGAGGAGTTTTCCCTCCTTGACTTTAAAGGGAAAAAACCTGATTTTAAACTGCCTCTGGATTCGGGCCCAGCTTTTCCCAGTCCTTGGAACAGTAACTGTCACCCTTTCAGCTCTCCCTGGAAATGCCAGCTGGGAAAGAAAAAAATGGAAGAATTTCTTTTTGGGACAAAGTAAAATGAAAGATCTTGACTTTGCCCTTTCCCACGTGGTTCCAGGTTTTATTCCAGACTCAGGTTAAGTTGGGATCAGCCCCAGGCCCCTGGACTGATGCTGGCGTGGGACTGGGGTCCTGGAATGGGAATGGGATCCTGCAATGGGATAGGGATCCCAGAGTAGGACAGGGATCCTGGAATGGGACAGATCCCAGAGTGGGACATTGATCCCAGTGGGACAGGGATCCCAGAGTGGGACAGGGATCCTGGAATGAGACTGGGATCCCAGTATGGGACACTGATTTCACTATGGAACAGGGGTCCCTGCATGGGAATGGGGTCCCTGTGTGGGGCAGGGATCCTGGAATGGGACAAGGGCAGTGATCCTGCTGTGGGACAGGGATCCTGGAATGGGACAAGGGCAGTGATCCTGCTATGGGACTGGCATCCCAGTATGGAACAGTGATTTCATGACGGGACAGAGATCCCCACATGTTGTCCTGCTGATGTCCAGGGAGGGGGATGAGTCCTGGGCGCCCTGACCTGTGGAATTCCGATGGAATCCTCGCAGGAACGCAGGCACTTGGTGGTTATCCCACATTTACCAGCTAAAACCCCAAAGGGGTCCCGCCCAGCTCGGGCCTCCCCCTGTTCCCCGCCCGTGTGTGGGGCGAGTCTGGCTCCTCTGATAGTTCCGTGGGACGCTCCGGGGTGGGCAGGGTCGGGAGGGATCCTTTGATGGCCCCGGTGGGATCTGGGATCCCCCAGCCAGCACATCCCAACCTGCAGGGAATGCTGCTCCATCCCGGGCTCTGCAGGTCCCACCCCCAGGGAGGGGCTGGGGCTTTCAAAGCGTCCGAAAGGCTGCAGGACACGGAAGAGCCCTCCCTGGGGCATCTGCCCGGCTTTTTTTGGCAGCTGCTGAAAATCCCTCCGTGGTGTTCCCGGCCCAGCTGGGAGTTCTGGGAGTTTCTGCCGCCTCTTCCAGCTCTGGGGAACCGGGATTGTTGTTTCTTCTGGCGAAGAAAGGGGACAAGACCCCTCTGCTGGGTTGTTGTCCTCACTCGACGGGTCCCAGAGCCTCCAAAGCAGGTTCCTGCAAATTTTCCTTGTGGGAATATCATCCCGGCAGAGGCTGGAGGGCGGAATTTTGTTATTTAAACATTTGGGATGCTTGGAAAACGCCGGGTTGTTTGCCAGGGCTGTCTGGGATGCTCTGGGATGGTTTGGGGATGGGGTTGGGAGCTCAGGGGGACCTGTGGCAAGGGCAGGTGGGGGGAATCCCCCAGGGACTTTCCTATGGAACAGGATATTTGGGATGGGAGTGGGGTGGGCAGGTCTTGGGACTCTTTCGAGCCTTCAAATGGGGTGAGACCCCCTTGCAGAGCCCATCCCTTGTCCCCAGTCCCTCTCCAGCTCTCCTGGAGCCCCTTTAGGCCCTGCCAGGGGCTCTCAGGTCTCCCTGGATCCTTCTCTTCTCCAGGGGAACCCCCCCAGCTGTCCCAGCCTGGCTCCAGAGCAGAGGGATCCAGCCCTGGGAGCAGCTCCGGGGCCTCCTCTGGACTCTCTGCAGCAGCTCCAC